AGGAGCTGCTCCAGCCCCTGAGCATCCTTGTGGCCTCCTCTGGCCTTGCTCCAACAGTTCAACATCCTTCTGATGCTGAGGACACCAGATCTGGATGCAGCATCCAAATGGGGTGTCACAGAGCAGAGCAGAGGGGGAGCATCACCTCCTTCGGCTGTTGGTCCACTCCTGTTGATGCAACCCATGATACAGTTGGTTCCTGGTCTTCTTGGTCTTACCTTTCTTGCAGCCTAAACCAAGACACCACATCCCACCTCTCCTTACCACTGTGATGGTCACCACCAGCTCCTTTACCTGCCCTAGGATATATCAGGTATGAACATGCCTGGAATCCCCTTTGCCACCCTCCACTCCCATTCCAGGTACCAACCTCATCATTTTAGGGTTAAAACCCTCTGTCCTCATGCGAACCTCTATCTCCAGCATTCCCAATGGAAAACCTGCCATAAGGCTCCTCGATAGTACCCCCATCCCACATGTCCAGGCAGCACCAGGCAGCGGGGCTCTCAGGCTGACTTTTATTAACCGGGGTCCCTTCGCCCCCGTCCCCATCACAGCTTCTGAGTGGCACATCCCAGATGTTTCTCCAAGAACCGGATAATCTCCTTCCACGAGTGTTCCTGAGCCTCGGCGTGAGGTTTGACTTCACCCCCCCACAGCAGGGGCAGGGGGCTGCTCCTGATGCTGGAGATGCTGCAGAGGGGAGAACAGGGGGGCTCGATCAAGTGCCCGGCCCCGGGGTAGGACAGGAGGTGACTCTGCTCTGGTGGCATCTGAGCCATGGCCAGCCTGGCAAAGAGCTTGCTGTTGAGGCTGCGGTCGGCCTCCCCCACCACAAAGAGGACCTTCCCCTTGATCTTCTCAACAGGGATGGCCGAGGAGCGGTGCGTGGGGTCCTGGGGGTCACCGAAGACAGCAGAGTTGTCCAGTGCCCCCATCTCGGTGATGAGCACGCGCTCGAGGCCGTAGGGAATAGCGGGGAGGGAGATGTCCTTGTAGACCAGAGGGTTGCCGTGGAGGAAAGCAGTGCCGTAAGCCAGTGCCGTTGATCCACACCGTGGCCACCCCCTGCGGGAGGAAGGTGGCCATGGCCAAAGCCACCTCTGCTCCTTTGGAGATGCCAATGACGCCCAAGCCGGGGCCTTGCACCTGAAACAGGGGGAAATGGAGCCGAATGGGAGCACCGTACATTGGGATGTCACTGGAATATCATGGAATTGGGATATCATGGGATGGTTTGTGTTGGAAGGGAGCTTAAAGCTCCTCCAGCTCCAACCCCTGCCCCGGGCAGGGACACCTTCCACTAG